TCTGCATAGAGTTGAACCTATACTACAGTTCCCGTTAGGAGTATTCTCCTATGAACATTGTAGAAGTCGCAGAGATGATAAAGAGGAAGAAATATTAGAACTATCCAGTGTAGGAATACAAGCAATCCAATATAGTCAATGAGGTTTCTGCGTTTCACAGTGGTGTCACAATGGATCTGCAGGGTCTAAATGAGTTGGTCTTTTGAGCTGACTGCCACATTAATCAGTTTTAAACGCTATATTTCTGGCCGATAGGTCCGCCTGCAAGAGATGCTGCAGGGTGCTGCCGTTGATGTAGTCCTACGCGCTTCTATCAAGCCGATCATTGATTTCGTTGCTGTATACCAAACCAATACCGCAGTATTGACCTTACTATCGCCGTGTAGATCTAGTGAGCAAGGGAAGGCCACAGGTACAGCCCAGCATCTTTTTGTTACATGCATAGAATGCCACTGAGGCCTTCTTCGCGCTCTACTCTCCATTGAGGCGCCATGACTTGCTATCGAATATTATTCCCAGGTATTTGGTGCTTTGCTTCAGCTGGAGGATCACATCATGCAGCTTAGGCGTAGACCATTTCGGAACTTTGTATGACCTAGGCTGGCAGCCAGTCAAAAGCACTGACGCCACGCACGGGGCGCAGCTTTTACTAAATATTATCTGGCAACTTAAAAGCATTCCATTCGCTGGCAGACTTTATTAAATGCCGCAAAACCACAGCAGCAGCCAAAGAATAGTTGCCGCAAATAGGGTGAAAAATTGGAGCTAAAATTGAGCTTCGCAATGGGAGTTGAGAGTGCGTAATTATTTGTGAGTGTAAAAGCATATTTTTAAAAACATTAAACAGTTCATGTGCCCGGTTGTCATAGTATCTGCATTCGCGGCATCCAAGTCAAATAGGAGGCCGACCTATACATTTTTGAGTGTAACTGTGGGGTTGCGTTCTTCAGAGACTACCACAATTTTCGCTATTATTTAGATATTTTTTTATTTAATCTCAACTTTATTTACTAGCTGCTGGCATGTACTACTAGCTTTGACTACTACTACTTTTTCAAGCTACTAGTAGTTTCGCATATTTTTTCCCATCTTTATCGTAAACGGCTTCTGCGTTTTTCCGCCTTGCTGTCGCTTTGTTTTGTAAAATATGCGCTCATGTGCCGCGCATTTTAATTGAACCGAATGTGGTAGGGAGCATTGCCAGCAAGCGCACCAATAGTCCACAGCAACGACAACGACAACAACAACAGCAAAAACTGTCAATATTACAAAAACAATGCGACTAGCGCTCTATAATGGCCCTCACCATAAGTGTGTGTTACATAGTGTTTGGCACGCATACATATGTACATATGCGCCTGTAACCCTAACTCAAAATGCGTGCTACATTGCTATTTTATTAATATGTTGCACTCCGCTTGCGCGCGCGCGTTTGTGTGCGACTTCCATACGTGACAACGCCGCGCTCTGTGGCATTTATACGCTTATTGCCTTTGCATACGAAATAGCAATGCGACTTGACTTCCCTCGCGCCGCGCTTTGCCCTTTATTGCAAAAGTGTCGAACTAAGTATAGAAATGTGTAGAAAATCGCATATTGAAGCATTGAAGTAAGTTTAAATTGATTTAACCTCACGCGCTATTTGCATAAGTTAATGCAGCAAGAAGGTGAATATGAGCCCTAGACATGAAATTGGCGCTGGAAATTTTTAGAACTTTAGCTTAAAATTGCAACAGAGTAATTATTTGAGTGTGCTTAACATTGTCGATATTAAAGTCGATGTAACCTTTCAATATAGGTATCGATTTTTGTGTTCCTATCGAGAAATTTAACCATATTTGTATTATTATCGATAAATGTGTCGATATAGGTATTGTTATTATCGATAAATTAATCGATATTTTTATGACAAAAGCGACGAAGCGACGAATTTTGAAATTATCATCTTATATTATTGATCTCTTTATCGAAATTTCTCCGGTTATCGATACAATTTTCGATATTTACATCATACAAGTGACGAAGCAACGTATTTTGAAATTAATTACTGATATTTTCGATATTATTATCGAAAACATCATCAATATTTTCACGGATAAATCGACGAGATCGCCATATGTCGAAAAAAATCACTGATTTATCTTATATCCTTATCTATGGATATTGGTATTGTTGTCGATAACTTTATCGACTTTTACGAGAGCAAAGCACAGGCGTGCCATTCGAGAGATCCGAGTTCGGGTTTTGGGAAGCGAATTTTTTTAAATCTACATTTTTGTCTTTTTAAATTTAGCTTTCTTTTAATTTTTAGATTTTATTATTTTAAAAAGAAAAAAAAAATTAATTTTATTTACTTTTCTGGAGCTTAATTGATTATTTTTTGGTCTTTTAAATAAGTTTTTTTCTTTTTAATTTGATTTATGCACTTTTAAGGAACTTATTTGATTTTTTTTTAAATAAATTGTTTTCGTTTAGTATAGTTTTGTCTTAATTTTTAGATTTTATTGTTTTAAAAACAAATCATTTTTTTTTGAATTTCTTATTTTATGTATTCCTTCTTTTTTAATTTAATTTTCTTACTGAATTATTATTTTGTATTTTTTATATAAAAATATTTTTTCTTTTGAATTATTACATACTATTTTTTTATTTTTTGATTTACTTCTCATTTTTCTAATTAATTTATTAGATTTTATTGTTTTAAAAAGAAAAGCATTTTTTTAATTTTTTATTTTATGTATTCCTTCTTTTTTAATTTAATTTTCTTACTGAATTATTATTTTGTATTTTTTATATAAAAATATATATTTTTTTGAATTATTACATACTATTTTTTAATTTTTTTATTTACTTCTCATTTTTCTAATTAATTTATTAGATTTTAATGTTTTAAAAAGAAAACAATATTTTTTAAATTTCATTTAATTTTTAAAAATATTTCTTATTTATTTTTGCTTTATATTCATTTTCTTTTTGTTTGTTTTCTTAATTTAATGGTTTTTTATTTATCAATTTTTATTGTTTTAAAAATAAAAACATGTATATTTTTTGAATTTAATTTAATAAAGGCGATAAACATAACGCTAAGACATATTCGTTGTGCAGATCTTTCAATTAGTCTTTCGAAAGACAGTAAAGCGCTTTCAAGGTAGTTTGCGAATTGATAACGAAAGACTTTTATTTCGAAAGACTGTAGTGAGTTGAAAGGCAGTTGCCAGAATTGATCTGTTACAGTTAAAATGTAAAACCAATATCTATCCATTCAAGACTTTGTAGTATGTTGAATTTTGTATACAGAATTTAATATCCTACCCCGCCAGGTTCATAACCTTTCGTGAACACACAGTTTTTTCCATTAGCACTGACATTTCTGTATGATCCTGCTGATATCGTTGTAGCTGTACGCCTACCCTTAACCAGTTGATTTTTGGGGATGTGCTGCGACGATGACCATTGATCGGTCTTTCTCAGGCCGTTTTATTAACGTAAAATCGACCATTCGGAGAACATTGATCTTCCCTTCCCGTCGGTTAAATCACCAAACATGTCAATTACTTTTTTACACGACGTCTACGTCCTTCTCAACCAGACTCCTAGTAGGGATCTCCGGCGCACCAACCGGGCAGGGTTCGTGATAGCGTGGATGATGTTCTCTTCCTGAGAATGAAATCAGAAATCACCTCAGTTTTTTTTTAACCAATCAGCCGAGAGCTGCATGGAAGACTGAAACCAGGCAGCTGCAAGGCACACTAAACGTTCCCCGACAGTCGTGTCTTCGTAACCGAAACGACCCACATACATATCTGACTAAGCCCTATCTTTGTTGAATTTATGAACTGCGACAACAACAAAAAGGCACCCTAAAATGATGGAGTGGAAGCGGTAATCTTGAGAACGCCCATCTCTTGCTCCTATTGCTACCTTCTTGGTGGTGAAATAATCAGACACGTGGAATATCTTTACTACGATGTCATTCTACTTCTTGATTGGACGGAAAGTTCGAATCTACGATTAGACTTGACCGTTCTGCTTCAAAGCAAGTTGATTACGTCAGGTCGACGCTTAGGGATGGAGGCCTTTACCGCCGTCGCGCTCGTTTGCCACCAAGAAGGAAATGGCAGCTGGAGATCCAATGTGTTTTCAAATTTAGACAGCTCTGATTGAGTTCACTGAGAAGAAGCGCATTACTCAAAGAAATCAAGACTTCTAGCTTTGGCCTAAATGGCCTTCAAAATGTGAAACTACACGCCAACAGTGACAAGCGCTTTAAGAAGGACTACTAATTGTATGGCTGTTCGGCAGTTGGACGCTTTTCTCTTCAGTGTGAAAGCTTCAACTGAAATTCTTCCAGAGCCAATAATTTTCACATCTTCTTGGTCTACGCGCGAAGAATAATTAAGATTCTGAAGTCTCGCTAGAATAAAAATAAAAGCCCTCAGTACAAACGAAGCGGATTTGGAATACTGACTAACCTGGATAGTCGTCAAGAATTACACGAAACATTGTGTGTAGGGCGTCTCCGCAAAACGACGGAAATTTCAAAAGAAAAATTGGCAAATATTGGAAAATGTGTGTGTGTTCTTTCCGTAGCCAGCATTTTTGCCAATATTGTAAGTCCTACTAACTTAACAGTTGCGGTAGGCAACGGAAATGGCTTTGCAATGCTTTGCAATGTATTTTTGCTTGCAACAAATATTTGTAATGCAAATAAGGAGCGACTAGTTTTGAATGCGTAATGAAGGGGGATATGCTTATCTCTAGACTGCCGGGAGTCGACTTTGTGTCTCTTAAAGCAGCTCATTTCGAATTCCGACAGCGCGATTTCCTATCGCGCAGACGTAAACGACAGTGGTTTAGCGACCGGAAGACATGACTTTGTGAAAGGAATAACAATTACTCCGATATTACTCAAGCTAATTTTTATAGCATGCTATATTTTCTAGCAACTTACTATAAGTTAACTTTCCTAACCACTAGTTTTTTTCTCTTTCTCTTTGCAGTCTCGCGATGTTCCGCATAAGTTTCGCAAATATTTAACCGCGCCTTCCGAAGTAAACTTAAAACAATTCGGTTAATCGCAATCGGCGTCGCGCTCGCGTTCGCGCTCACAAATGTCTGACGAAGTGCCTTCGGGGCGCTTATCGCAAATCTTCAACTCGCTCACCAATCTCCAGCAGCAACAGCAACAAGCGCGCCGCCGCTCCGCCTCTTCATCATCGCCTTCGCCCGCCGATTCGGGGCGCGCCACACCCGCGACCGCTGCCAACGTTAGCGCACAGCCATTTGCCTTTCATCATCAACATTTCAGCAATCACGCGCATGCTTACTATGCGCGCGCGCAGGATGGCAACGCTTATTTGCATACCTTTCCGGCGGCGGCGGCGACGCAAGCGCATCATCATCAACAGCACTTGCATCACATGCAAGCGGCGGCGCATTACTACGTACAACAGCAAACGCATGCACAACAGTTACAGCAACAGCAAGTATATAGCGGCGCGCAGCAGCAAATGTCGCTGCCGCCCATGTACGCCTCACAGTCGCTGACCTCTTCGCCTTTGCTCACCAAGCGCGCCACTTCATTTAGCGGTAATATACCGCTTGCGCGTCCGCATTGTGAAAATTTGGCGGCGATGCGCATCTCGGCGGCGACCGGTGCGGGCTCTGGTTCTAGTGGTAGTGGCGTCTCGCAGTCGACGCCTAATAGTCCGCGACTAATGCCGCGGCGCGCTCAACGGCCACCACCTATACCGGCAAAGCCTAGTGTGGCAACGCTGCAGGGTGCAAACGCGAGCGGCTGTAGTGGCGCTGCGCCAGTCGCCAGCAATAGTGGTGCTGTATCAAAAAAATCTGCCGCCAGTGGTGCCGATCGCCCGGAGAAGATGGACGTGTGCGCTGGCCAAACGTCTACCGCCGCCGCGCCTGTCAATCCTGGCTTAGCCGCGCTGGATACTGACGCGCCTTGGCCGCATTTCTCTACGCTCACCGAACACTTGGACGTGCATCAGGTGAACAACTACGCGCAACCGGTGCCAGAGGTGAGTAGAGCTTCTCTCAATTTTGAAGGAGTATTTACATTGGTCGAGGTTCTGAAAATTATTTAAATTTATGCATCCTGATCTTATTTCGCCTCTCTCTTTTTCTCTTCCAGATCAACTGGCAAGAACGCTGTCTCGAACTTCAACTCGAATTGCATCGCTCTAAAAATCAAGCTGGCCGCATACGTGATATGCTGCGTGAAAAGGTGAGTGCTTTTCTGTGTCAAAACATTTCTAAATTTAAGTCTCATAAATTCTGCGCCTAAAAGTAGACTACGTGCAAAAATTTTATGCTTGAAGTGTCTCTGGAGTTCTTCATAGCCAAAAATGCGCTTGTACGCTGTCACGCATAATCACAATTAAATGCGCTTTTGGGATTAATTCAAACGAGCGAATGGAGAGACACGACCACAACCAGGCGACAGGTCATTGAAAAAAATTTTAAAACAAGAAATCATACTCTACTTGTTTGGGGGCAGGCAAAAAGTGGCGACACATAGTCGCAAGGATTAATAGATGGAAATGAGAAAGAATGTGTGAGAATCTATGATTTTGGCAGTGGTTGCTTTGGTGAATGTTGGCATCATCCAAAAATTAAATGTCCTTGATTTTGTTCATCTGTTGTGTGGGGCTGCATATTTCTTTCAATGCTTAGTACGTATGTATGTGTGTATGTGGGAACTTTTGGTGTACCCGTCGTGCTGGTCATTAATTCGCTATGTCTATTCGAATGTATGTATGTATGCAAGTATGTATATGTGTGTGTGTGTAATGAGTGCTGGTTGTGCTGACAGTTGTCGAGGATTCTTTAATCTTCATCAACGACTGATCTGCACATGCAGAGGCTCATATTCAACCAAATGAATATAGGCAGATTAGAATGTTCACTAGGAGGCGTATGAAATTAAAAACGAAAAATAAAAGCAAAACAGCACACAACTTTTTATAATCATCTGGGGTTTAGGCATAGCTAATTAAATAGGTGTAAAGATGAATCTTAAAAATAATCAAAAAATGTGGAGATATAAAAAAATTGCTAAATTTTTTAATTGAAGATGCAAACTTTGTTCACATAGATTGCCATTTCCTATACAGAAATTTAAAAAGTTTGTTTTCTAAACTTAAAAAATAGGTTTCCAGAAATTAAAAAATATTAAAGTTAGTTAGAAGTTGAAATTTGAGTATTAAAATTTACTTTAGGGAATTTAGAAATTTGGAGATTTTCATAAAATTATAAAATTTTTTAATTTGGAAAAAGAACGGAAATTTGATATGTTCAGAAAGAATAATTTTTTATTTCTAAACTTTTGAGAGCTAAAAATTGAAAAATCCCTTAAACTAATTAAAATTTGATTGGTATAACATTAAAAAAGGAAAACTGAGAGTTTTTGGAATATAAAATCATATTTAGAAAAGTGTTTTTTTCTTATTAAGCACGAACCATGAAACTATAGACGGCAAAAGAAAACAACGAATATTTTCTGGCTAAATAGCAAAACTTGTTTTCAATGGAATACAAAATTTAATTTCGGAAATCTTGAAATTTGAAATTTTAACAACCCTGCAAAAAATGGGACTAATCCGGGATGACTCCGGGAGCAATCGCAAAGGAGCATGCGACTAATACCACTTTTGATCTCTTTATATGGAATGAACTGTTCGCTTTTGTTCGAGCATGTCCTATGAAGAGACTAATTGTTCACCTTTATACCCGAACGGGTATAAAAAGCGACTAGTCACTTTTAAAAAATAAAATTAAAAATTTGCGCCACCTGAGATCCGAACCGGGGTGCTCAGTTTTGTTAGGCGAATACTCTCTCTGTGTGCTAACGCCACACTTGAAATTTCATTGACTAAGTGCGTACATATCATTAAGTCGTTAATAGTACCTGTTAAAGATGAGTTGGGTACCCGTATGAGACTAGTTGCGACTAATTAATGCCCAATTGTACCCGATTGAGAGTAATCTCGGAATACTCTCTTTAGAGATTAGTCGCACAATTTTTTGCAGGGAAATAACTGCAAAAAGGGTAGGTATTTAAATATTAAAAAGAAGAAGTAAATTTAAATTTTTTTGAGAACATAAAGTCAAAATTTAATTTCGGAAATCTTAAAATTAGAAAATTTTACAAATAACTGCAAAAATTGTATTTAAAATTTAAAAAAAGTAAATTTAGATTTTTCTGAAAACATAAAATCAATCAGATACAAAAAAAAATACAAGAAGTTAAAAAGTCTGCAAAACTTTTTGTATACATAAATAAAAAAAAAAAAAATTAAGAACAAATTAAAAACAATCAAAAATTGGCAGAAATTTTCTGTCTAAAATTTGGATTAAAAAAATTGAGTTTTCGGAAACTATTAAATTAAGAAATTTCAACAAATAACTACGAAAATACAATTGAATTGACTGATTATGTAAAATAATATTTCATTCGGTTACAAAAAAGAACAAAAAATTGTTCAGAAGTTTAAAAGATTTAAAAAATGTGGTAGATGGATTAAGTAAAAAGTTAACTAAAAATAGAACACAATACAAAAAAAGGCCTGCTTTCTGGTTAAAATTTGGATAAAAAATTGCTTTTTCGGAAATCTTAAAAGTAGAAGTATCAACAAATGCAGCTACAAACATTTTATTGAAATTTGACTTTTTTTAATATACTAGATATACATATAAAACGATATTTCTTTTGGTTACAAAAATTTGTTCAGAAGTGTAACATATTTTTTGGTAAAAATTAAAACAAATCAAATAAATTTACCAAAATTTTGTGGCAAAGGTTGCAGTTTACAAAGGAGAACCCCAAATTCTTCGTTTAAATTCGATGTCAGGAATTTTAAAATTTAAAAAACTTCAAAAGATTATAAATTTTTTATTTGAAAAGAAAAAACGGGAAGTTGATTTTTAAGTATAAACTGAGTTTCTAATTTACGAGAATTTGAAACGCTTCCCAAATAATCAAAAGTTATTTGGACAGTACTTTCAAAAATATTAGAAAGTTTAAAAATATTCACAAAATAATCAAATGTTATTTGGAAAGAATTAACAAAAAACAATTTTATAACCATAAAAAATGTCCATATGTGCATTTGTACATTTCCAAAATTCTATGGTTTACGAAGCACAAAATATTTACAAAAATATTCTGAATATTTTTTTGTAGATTACCTAAATTCTTTGGTTTACGAAGCACAAAATATTTACAAAAATATTTAGAAACAAACAGTTTTCAGAACTTTTCTGCCTAAGATTCCCGTCCATTAAAAAATTAGGGAAATCTCAAAGATATAAACATTTTAATTTATGAAATAATGTGAACAATTTTATTGGAACTATTAATGCAAATAATAGATTTTCTCGTAAAGTGGTGTTTAGGCATTATTCTACGCAAAAATTTGCAAAATTTGCTTTGCGAGTCAAATATTAATTTTTTTTATAACAATTGCCCTTCGAAAATATGAAAACAATTTATAGCTAAATAATAAATATGAATACTTAAGAAAACAGAAATGATGATTTTGTAAAGTTGAGAAAAGAAGGGATTTCAAAAAAAATTTTGGAATATATTTTTTAATTAGATATTTTTTAGCAGCCTTTTTATAAACATTTATTTCGTGTTTGAAAATAAAATTTTTGAATTAAAAAATTTAAACAAAATTTATGAAAACAAATTCAGAGTCAAATCACAAGTTTTTGAAAAATATTATTTTTTAATAATATCTGTTATATTTTTTGGAAACCTTTTCATAAACATTTACTTAAAAAACTAAAAAAAAATATTAAAAAAAAATTCAGACCTATATAACATTAATACTTAAAACAATAATTTTGCAAGTGATGCTTTTGTAAATATAAGAAAGGGAAAAATTTCGAAAGACCAATTTTTGGAAAATATTGTTTTTAGTAAACTGTTTGGATGCTTTTAATAAAAATTGCTGTAGCAATTTGAATGCAATTGTTGAATTTTTGAAAATTTAAACAAATAATATATTTTTTTGAATTTAAAAATATTTTTTGAGAAACACATTTTTTGAAAAGAAAGTTCTAGAGGTTTAGTTTTTTAAATGTTTTTGTTTAGCAATTCTTATTCGTATTAGAAAATTATGATAAATATAATTTATTTTTCAAATTTGGAAAAAGTGAACTTCGGGAAAAAATGTTTGCAAAAATGTGATTTGAATTTTTTAATTAATTTTTTTTTAAGTAAAAAAAACATATTTTAAAAGTTTTTATATATATTTCTTGATGTTTGGAAAATCATTGAATTGGAAAAATTTAACATTTGTTTGAAAATTTTAATATTTTTGGGATGTTATTTATTGGGTTTACTATTGGGTTATTTATTGGTCATTACGAATTATATTCCATAAGACAAGAAAAAAATCTAGGGCGGCTGAAGTTGTGCGACCTTTCTTTGACTCATACAAAAAATTTACTAATTCAAATCCTTCCAAAACTTTTTGTTTTATACATATGTACATACATATTTTTCAATCCATTGTCTAAATATTGCAGGTGCTATCTTTATTAGTTTTTAATATTTTTGAAAGCTATTTAATTAATTTCCTCGTTAATTTGCTTTGCAAACATACCATTAATTTACTCAATAACAAAAATATTCAATCAGCAACTTTTTAATTGCATATTTCACGGCGTAATTTATACATTAACAACCCATTTTGTGTAGCCTTCTTTTTATATTCGCACAACTCTTTCACCCGCACTGAAATCCGCTCATTAGAACCCTCACCGCTGTCACCAAATTTCGAACGTTTCGCGCATACTAATTCATCGCCAAAAATTTAACCCCAATAAAGCTGTCATTAGACACAACAAAGGCAACCCCAATTTTTTCACCGTGGCATAGTATTTGAATTTTTCAATTGCTTAGACATATTTAAGCACTTTTTAATAAGTAAATTTTATGACTAAGCACGCAGACAACACATTTGGGAAAATTGAGGAGAAAAATAAGTAAATCAATTAATTCAGTTGTCACACGCCAAATGAATGCCAACGAGTTGAATGGGGAGTGTGGTGTTGAATTAAATAGCGGCTATGATTGGAAAATTGATTTTGAAAGGGGTGCGTCTCCGCGCTTACTGATTTCAATTTTAAAATTTAATTCAAAGGCCAAGCAATTCACATATTTTCGCGCTTCTGGTTGACGCTCTAAAAATGAGCTGCTATCTACATTGTTAAAGCAAGCTACCGGCGAACTACATATTTAACTCCACTAATTGGATGCAAAAAATTTCGCACTTGCAGCACAAAAAAAAAGTTGATAAATCTTCTAAAAATCCTGCATCAATAATAATACAATTTAACCGCAAAACGCGCGCACCCAGACAC